TAAATAGATACCCAACATGCCCAGGATATAAATTGTGTGCGCCCGTGAAACTCTGACAAAATACAGTACCCCAAATTGTTTATAGGCGACTCTTTAAAAGCCTGTACAGATCATCAGTTTAGAGATATCCGTGAATATTGGCCCTAGAATTATTGTTCTCACTCTTGTGAATCGGCAATACCTAACATGTGTGGTGCAATTGTCGTTTTCGAATGTAGGCGCACCCAACACAATTTACTTTAATATGCGCACGCTCGTGGGGGCCTTTAAAAACGTTTTTTTCTTACATTTTATTCATTTAATTTTTTTGAAAATGTATTTTACTTAACTTAATTGCTACCATATAAGGGGCTTACAAGCCCCCTATGTGATAGCACATTGGAGGTGACAGGTTCTCTTTAAGGTAACATTAGGGGTCTATTATACCCTTAGTATAACCTTTCCACTCTAAAGAAGCTATTGGAGCGCAGACTGCTCTTTCTGCAGCCGGGGAGTGACAGCAGAGGGACCGGAAGTAATGCAATCAGCATCGCTTCCCGCCCCATTCAGCAGTTGTTCACTGGTCTTCTTCCCTGCTGGGATCTGTGATGCTGGAGCCCAGAAGGCAAGGTGGGGGTGTCAGGCAGGGGGGCACACTACACTGGCCTTGGAAGCGATCTGGTGGCAGTTCAGCCACCAGAATCGCTTCCAGTGAAAAGCCGAATAGTCGGATATACACATGTAAACAGAATCTGTTTAAAGGGGCTTGCTGCCAGCGATGGATGAGATACGTTGGTGGCAGCGAAAGGGCCCCCCAGGTGGCAGAAATTCATGGCTCGGTCGCACATGCAACCGTTGCGCCCCTGGTAGTTATGCCAGTTCAGCAGCAAGCTTAATGAATATGGACGTGTGTACTGAGTCAATTTCTGAGAGCACACTGTTGGACCTGACTTTTGGGGACACCTACAAGGGATCAAAATGTCTGCCAAGCACTTCTTTCACACAGTGTTGTGATATTTTCTTTTACCAAATGGGAGTAAACATTGATTTTAACATCTACCTTATATGTCATTTTGCATGTTGTGTTTTATTTCAATAAGAAACAGACCACAACATAATGCTTTTTTTAATACATACTTTTATTAGGATTACGTATTTTGCTTACAATTAAACAAATTTTGTTTTACATGTCCATTTTATATGTCTTGAAAAAATGGAAACTGTTTAATGGTCACCTACCTCATAATTTAGAGAAATAGCAAGAGTCACCTCACCAGTGCTAGAATTGCATCTAACGTAATAGGAATCTTGTCCTTCTACACCATATGTCAAGATGTCACCATCTTCATCTGTAGCAGTGATATTGACTATAGATGTTCCTGTTTCAAGAGAGAGGACATTAAATATGCAGCTGTAAATAATATAGAAGAGAAAGGATGTCAGATATGCAAATATTGATAATACAGAAGACACATATATGCTTTCCTTGTTGCAAGATGTAGGCTCCTGAAACAAATTAATTAACAACTCTGTACTTTCCAAGCACAAGAGTTGCATATCATTTTCAAGAAACTATTTATAACAATGTCCATTAATGCCTCAATGACCTCAATCCAGTCTGAAAAATACCATATGCTACCATTTTGATATTTGTTAAAGCATCTTCTCCCTTGTGTATGCCATGGCAGGTTAGATTATTTACATTGGTGCTGCCCTAAGTAATGAAAGAATGGCATTTTTATACCTGAGGAAACTTGTGCAGAAAGATGCATCTCACGGAGGTGCCAACATTTTAAAATATTGTGCAGGTTTGTTTTGCTTCTAAAGCAATATACTGCTTTACAGTCTTATCATGATATATTTCCTAAGATATGGACTTTCGAACACATGTGTATTGAGTTTTCCTGCTTCAATTAATTGTGAACATTAGCCAGTCATTATTCAGATATTGTATTTGATGTGTACATCAACATATGGCATACGGTACCAGCATGCAACATCCTATGGCAACATGCACAAACACATTATCCTTACTATATTGTTAAGCCATGTTATTAATAATAATGTATTATCTTTCACCCAAAAAAAATTTGGAATTGCTACAACTTTTTTTTAGGTAACTGCAATTGTGTCTTTGAAAATAAAATCAGCATTGTAACACCAGGTTGTGAACATAATATAATAAAATTGGGAACTTTTCCCCCCTGTTGGTATTTCTAGCTGTTAATAATATTTATATATTATAAACAAAAAGTATCCTAAACCACTGAAGCTACACAAAATAGGCAGAAACCCAACCACTGAAGCTATGAGATACAAACGAGAAAGCTGACTTTTGAAATGTCATCTGGGATTGCTCAAGGGTAGTTTGCTTTCATTATTACAAATGACCAGCCAATCAGCTCCATTTACTCATCTGGTATATCTGTTAGGTAAGGCAAATCAGCCAAGGTTTGGCTAGTTGGCCGCTCATCAAACCCATTGGAAAAAGACTGAAAAATGTGAATTTTAATCTGAAAACCCAATTAAAGTCTCATGAGCGTGGAAGGGGGGGAGCGACTCTTGAAAGTTAATTCTGGTCATTTCTAAGGCTAATTGGCAAGGGAATTTCAAAAAAGGACATGGGAAGCTGTGCACTGGCATGGGGTATAAACTGTATTAAAGCTAACAAAAAAAATTATGTACAGCAGGGATAGGATCGAACTTTTTGTGCAACTTGAGGATGACAAGAGCAAAACACCATTCATTTCAATGACATGCTTGGGAGATGTGTTTAACCACTTCTGTTAAACCCCCTTTCTGTCAAGGCCATTTTTCAGTATTTAGCGCTGCAATACTTTGACTGACATTTATTCCATCATGCAACGCAGTGCTGAAATTAGCTTTGTATCATTTTTGGGGGACGCATAGAGCTTTCTTTTGGTGGTATTTAATCACCACTGGGCTTTTTATTTTTTACTATGCAAAGTAAAAAGTAGCAAAAAAATGTTTTAAAAATGTGTTTTCCCTCGTTATGTTATGAAACATTGATAACACGGGGTCACGTTGGGTAAATAGACACCAAACACGTCAAGTCTTAAAATTGCATGCGCCGGCGAAATCGCAAAAAAACTACCATACCTAAAATTGGCCATAGTCAACGCTTTAAAAGCATTTACTGCTCATCAGTTTAGTGTTAATAGTGATTGATGGCCCTAGAATTAGTGATATGTGACATGTGTGGCGCAATGGGCATAATCATTGTTTTCACACGTAGGCGCATCCGAAGCACGATTGCATTTGCATGTGTGTACATGGGGCAGGGAGAAAAATGTTTAATGTGACTAATTTTTTAAACCTTTTTTCTTATTTACATTTAACTTTTTTGTTATCACTTAGGGGGCTAAGAATCCCCCTATGTGATAGCAAATATGCAGTGACAGGTCCTCTTTATGGAGACATCAGGGGGTCTCTAAGACCCCTAATGTTACCTAGGGACCCCCAAAGAAGCTCATTAGGCAGAGATCTGTTTCACCAGCTTTTGTCCAGCTACAGAAGCCAGAGAAATTACAGCTGAAGGTGGAAGTGATGTAATACATATCACTTACGCATTCAGAGATCAAAGGGGAGATAAGCGGAAGATTGTGTGCTGATCTCCCTCTGATCTCTGTTTAGAGAGCCGCCATGCCAGCTGGCTCTTAGACCAGTCCTTCCATCCTCTCTCTACCTCTGCTTCAGTGGTCTAAAGATCTTCACATCACAATATTGGATGACTAGAGTCATCACAATATTGGATGTGAGGATGTCGAGGGACATACCATCGCAGCAGTGGAGGAGGAGACACGCTGGAGGGAGCATTCTAACAGCCAGCGGGCAGCGAGGTTCATATGAGTATAACTTTGTTATTTGTGCATCTACACCAAAACGAGCACTTAACCCTTGCATTGTGGGGGTACCCCCACGGAAAGGGTTAAGAAAAGTTTTGCCCAGAGTTCCTCTTTAAGATGTGGTGTCACAGAACAGTACACTTGTCACAGACAGCATCAGCAATACCATACGCTGGCATCACATATTTTGGATGTGTAATTGATTTTTATAATTTAACATTACTGCTTGGCTTAAATACAGCAACAGCACCCCAATCTGATTCATTTGAACTTGTTTTGGCTGCGACACCTGAACAGCAATTTCAGAGGGAGGGACAAGGTATCTTTTATCACAAAATACAAATAAGAGTATAGTATTTCAGAGACAATAGCCAGAAATATTGTACAGACAGCATTCACACTATGTAAGCAGCTTTAGTGGGCCACAGTTTAAAAGGAAGAGACCAGGCAGGTTTTATTATGAAATACAAATTAGAGTGTATTATTTTAGAGACAGCAGCCAGGAATATTGTACAGACTCAATGCACAGTATGTACAATAAGCCTTTTTACTAGACTGCAATATAAAAAGGAGAGATCTGGCAATTAAAACATTCTAGTGGATTATTTCAGAGATAAAAGCTAGAATTTCTTTTTACTGTGCCACAGTTTAAGAGGGAGAGTCCAGGCAGGTATAATCATGAATGGTTTTTGATCTACTGACCACTATCTGCACTCAACTATGAAATGGAAAAGAGGTATGTGTACAGAGCAGATGTTGTCTTTTAAACCAGAGAGCCTTGCCATAGAGCACATCTATGTCAGTGACTTTACTCTGTTCTACGGTAGTTAAGCAATATGGATTGGTAACCAATCTGGCCCCAGCCTGTGATTGGACAATGAAAGAGAAGCAGCACACCCATGAGGTCATTACACTTAGAGCATTTACCCTCCAATTCCCAGAGTAAGAGCAGCTGTGCTGGGAATTATGGGAGGCTGATGTCAGAACACATTCAGGTATTTATACTAGTTCTATGGAAAACTACTTTATTTTTTTTCTTTAAAAAAAACATACCTGAATTAAATGGTGATTTTTATACATGTAGGTGACATATTGTGGGAAAAATTACTCACCAAGAGGAGCATCTTCCCATATTCTGACACTAGCAGGAATGCTTCCAAACTGAGGTCTATTGTTTGCAGACACTAAAAAAACAAAGAAACACATAAAAATTATAAACTACAGGGATTGGCATATCCTATTTTCTGTAGTACTTTGGGATTAGCTGTCTCAGCTCGCAAGTAGACATATGACACATGATACACGGCTGTGACATTCAACAGTAAGGTGGATGATAGATCTGTAAACTGTGTTATAGAATAGGTTTAGACTCTAGAGGGAAAATTAACATATTTATGAGATTACTTATTTGAGTCCAACTGCCTTAAAGTGACACTAAACTCAAGAGTTAAATCTTTCAAATGCATTCAAGCATCCTAACTATTTACAATACAATGTATCTTATATGTGTATCGCTTGGCTCTTAATTCTCAAATCATCTCTGAATTGGTGCTGACACTGTCCTTCCTTCTGGAGGGTGGCTACTTTTGTTCCCCATGGTCCCTGTGTGTGTTGTAAAGTAGCCACCGCGCCAAGCTCTCTCCTGTGATGGGCTACAATCTCACATTTAGTTTAGTAATTTGTATTGAGGTTGTTGTCCATCACGGAAGAGAGCCTGGAGTGGTGGATACTTTACAATACACGCAGGGACCATGGGGAACCAAAGTAGCCCCCCTCCAGAAGGAAGGTCAGCACCAGTTGAATACTGAAAAATGGCCTGGCCAGGAAGGGGGTGAAACACTATGGCCTTCAAGTGGTTAATAGTTAAGGTACTTCAATGCATTTTTAGGATTGAACTCCTGAGTTTAGTGTCATTTAAATGTCATTTTTTAGATGACTACAATTCAGCTTCAATAAGGCTACACATTACTTCATCATATTAGGGTTCTGGGTTTAGGATTTAGTGTAGACGTGTGCGATTTGTTTTGTTCCGAATTGACATTTGTACGCATTTATGCATATTCAGACATTCGGATGCATCCAAATTTCCGAATTACAGAAGTAACGAATCTAAACGAATCCGAATGTTTTTGATAACGAAATTCGGATGCATCCAAAATGTTTTCCGAATTAATTTGGAGTGGAACAAAAGACCGGAGAGCTGTGTTTATTCTGTGACAGCTGCCTGCCTCTTTCTTGACATTTGGGAGCATCCTGAATGTCAACAAAGTAGCAGAGAGCTGTTACAGAATGCAGTTTTTAACTTTCACAGTCGACAAAAACAATAATTTTTTGAAAAACAGTGTGCGGTTCCCTCCGGCAATTCATACCAGATCCTTTAGGTCTGGTAGGAATTTTTTAGGGGGGTGTTTTAGGGGGGACACCAACGGCAAAAAAAAAAGCGTGGGATCCCCCCTAAAATCTCTTACCAAACCCTTGTAGGAGCAGAAGGGGTGAGCGTGCGCCTCCCCTCCTGCACCAATCAAGGCCACATGCCCTCGACATGGGAAGGGTGCTTTGCCAGGAGGAACCCCTGGAAAAGCACTTTGTCCCCATGTCAGTGAGGGCAAGGGCCTCTACCCCACGACCTTGTCCTGGTGGTTGTGGGGGTCTGTGGGCAGGGGAGCTTATAGGACTATGGGGGCCACCCAGATCCCGCCCCCCCTCATGAATGAGTAAGGGGTAGTTGTTACACATAAACAGTAAAATAGTAAAAAAACACACCACATTGTACAAAAAGTCCTTTATTTCAAAAATAAACAAAGGTTTTTGACAATTTATTAAAGAGAAAAACAAAAAATGTTCCACAATGTCAATCCAGCATCGATCACCTCATCCAGCAATGTAAATTGTCCCGCAGACCCAACAAAAGAAATACTTGCAGCTTGTCGCCCAACAAAATGCTTACATTGGGCAGTGGGCGAGAAATAAACAAACTAGAAAAACTAGTTTGACTATTTTTGGTTGTGGGGACGCACTGGGGTCCCAGCGTGCATTCTAGATTGCTGGGCCCCCAGTGCATCCCAGCACCTTATTAGGAGGTCTTGGCTACCTCCAGGTACACCTGCATGCAATTTATCGACTGCATTTATATGCTCACACTTGGAGACTCGTATACATAGAGTTAGGACCACACCTTGCAGAGGTGCCTTGGCGCGGCGGTGTGGCTTCTACATATTTTTGGCCAAAAGTTTGTGCAACTAAAACCTCTGATTTTAATGCATACTGTTGACAGGGCAATTTGTTTGGTTGCAGGCTAGCTGGAGGGTAAAGCTGGGGATTTTCTGTGTTTTGTATTGTTGTAAGCCTTCCCAATGTGCTCCCTGCCAAACAGGCTGGTTATAGATTCATGCAGGTACCATTTTTTCTAGTTTGACTATTTTTGGTTGTGGGGACGCACTGGGGTCCCAGCGTACATTCTAGATTGCTGGGCCCCCAGTGCGTCCCAGCACCTTATTAGGAGGAGTTGGCTACCTCCAGGTACACCTGCATGCAATTTATCGACTTCATTAATATGCTCACACTTGGAGACTCGTATACATAGAGTTAGGACCACACTTTGCAGAGGTGCCTTGGCGCGGCGGTGTGGCTTCTACATATTTTTGGCCAAAAGTTTGTGCAACTAAAACCTCTGATTTTAACGCATACTGTTGACAGGGCAATTTGTTTGGTTGCAGGCTAGCTGGCAGGTGAAGCTGGGGATTTTTGTGTTTTGTAGAGAAATAAACAAAGCCTGCTATTGGCTATTTCAAATTGAAATAGCCAATAGCAGGATGGCTACTACTCTGCCCACTGCCTGATGTCAATCAGCAGAAGAGCGGACCTGAGACAGAACTTTCTCTTTCAGGTCTGCTCCTCTGCAAATCGACAGAAGGCAGTGTCTATTTTTGGTTGTGGGGACGCACTGGGGTCCCAGCGTACATTCCAGATTGCTGGGCCCCCAGTGCGTCCCAGCACCTTATTAGGAGGAGTTGGCTACCTCCAGGTACACCTGCATGCAATTTATCGACTGCATTAATATGCTCACACTTGGAGACTCATATACATAGAGTTAGGACCACACCTTGCAGAGGTGCCTTGGCGCGGCGGTGTGGCTTCTACATATTTTTGGCCAAAAGTTTGTGCAACTAAAACCTCTGATTTTAACGCATACTGTTGACAGGGCAATTTGTTTGGTTGCAGGCTAGCTGGCAGGTGAAGCTGGGGATTTTTGTGTTTTGTAGAGAAATAAACAAAGCCTGCTATTGGCTATTTCAAATTGAAATAGCCAATAGCAGGATGGCTACTACTCTGCCCACTGCCTGATGTCAATCAGCAGAAGAGCGGACCTGAGACAGAACTTTCTCTTTCAGGTCTGCTCCTCTGCAAATCGACAGAAGGCAGTGGGTGGCAACAATAGCCAGCCTGCTATTGGCTATTGCAAATTGCAATAGCCAATAGCAGGCTGGCTATTGCTCCACCCACTGCCTGATATCAATCAGCAGAGGAGCGGACCTGAGACAGAACTTTCTGTCTCAGGTCCGCTCTTCTGCGAAAGCAATTGCCAATAGCCATCTTGCTATTGGCTATTTCAAATAGCAGGATGACTATTGCTCCGCCCACTGCCTGTTGTCAATCAGCAAAGGAGCGGACCTGAGAGAGAAAGTTCTCCCTCAGGCCTGCTCCTCTGCTGTTTAACAGAAGGCAGTGGGCGGAGCAGTAGCCATCCTGCTATTGGTATCGATTGCCGGGTGGAACTGCACGCTGTTTTTTGTTTCTGCGGACTGTCAAAAGTTAAAAATAAAAAAGTAAACATTTAATGTCACTTTTCTGCAACATAATGATAATTTTTAAATCCTCCGAAACTTTCAAACCCAAATCCAGAAAAACAAAATAAGAAAACATCTGATCGACCGCTTCTACTGTAAGGTCGTACGACTTTTGTCTTCCAAGCACGCTGGAAAACCTGCTGAAAATCGTACGATTTTTGGCGGGTTGGTGGCGTGGTTGGAAAACGAATGCTGCACCGGCCGGTGTGCCCACTCAGCACTGCAATCATCGGAATCACCCTTATTAACCCCCCCACACAAAATTATAATACACTCAACCCCTTCCCCGAGCCTCCTCACCTGTTAACGTCTTTGCAGGGAGGAGGCTGTGAGCAGGATCGATCCCTGGTTTATCTGTGAGCGATTACAGAGGTCTGCAGCAGCCCTCACTATCACACCCAGATAGCCAGGCATCGATGCTGCTCACAGACATTTTTTCCTTCGCCGGAGCTGAGAACTGTCAGAGCTCCGGCCGAAGGAAGCCGGTAACTGACAGGAGCTGCTCTGCTCTCAAATTTTAAGCCCTGCTATAGTCTATATACTATGCCACCCAGTGCAACATTTTGTTGTGAATGCATAAAGCAGAACTTACTTATTCTTTTTATGTATTGCCACTGAGGTTGACAGTAAGTAAACTTGCCTTGTCCACAAAATAATTCTCTGATCTGTTAATGTGGTGTTTGGGATAGTATTGAGGAAATCCAAAATTGTATTATAGTGAGTAAATCTATATTACCAAATTGGTGCCATATCCCAATATGGGTTTGATGCATATGGTACCTCCTTTAAATTTACTCTCTTCGCATCCTGACTGATGTGATATGGCTTGTACTATCTTAAGAATTTGCTAAGCAGTGCCAAGATCAAGCATACTAAAAGCTTCTGGTTTGTCGTTGCCACTTGTTGGACAGCAGCCTACAGTACACATAGTAAATGGTGAGTTTTGCTTTTGTTTTGCCTTTTCCCTGCAGAAGAGTAGATAAGTCTGACATAAACTGACACTTTTCTGCTTAACAAGTTTCAGGGTAGCCAGCTGGCTTTTATACAGCAGAGAGGATGTAATAGATCCGCAGGATAAGAACCAGAGGGTTATGTGTAGTGGACATATTATAATCAGTTTTAATGCATGCTATAGGTGTTCCCTCAGGATGGTCCTCTTTGCAATGCAAAGCATGTACATAGCTAAAGCTGGCCTTGTTTGGGTCAGCATGTATTATAGTCATACGATTTAATATATACATTCAGTGATAATAACTAAAATATTATACATAGTTAGTTCCACAATGCATAGGGCTATTTGTATGCACATATTCTCCCTTTTTAGCCAGTGACGTGCGGCACCTCTTGCTCGGGGTGAGGCATTCCCCAGCCCCACCCCACCCCCGGCCGAACCCCCCGCTGGCCAAAGCTCCTCCTCTGCCAACCAAAGCTCTGCCCCCCAACCCATCCCCAAGATAGTGTAAAGGAGGAAGGGAGGAGACAGGGAGGAGCCTCCTCACCGCTGAGGCTCCGTGACAGGTTACACAGCGGGAAGGATTTCCCTGCTGTGTAACCTGTTAGATGCCGATCTGAATGGAGAAAAAGCTGTCAGCTTCAGACTTTTTGCTCCATAATTCTAGGTGAGGCTCTGCCTCACTTGCCTCCCCTGACCGCACGTCCCTGCTTTTTACAGATCTCCTAACATATTCTTTGATCCGAATGGATAGAAGTTTGTGTTCTTTTATGCAAAACTTTTATGATATATAAAATTCACCTTGACCTCCACCCATAAGGAGCAGCGGGATCAGAAACAGAATGTAGACCATTCTTCCAGCATTTGCAGCCTGTAAAAACAAATACTGAGTGGTAAGATATAATTGTTATATATTTAGAGGATTTTAGCATTAAAGCATTTAAAAGGTCATGCAAAATGTACCATTCTGGTAAATAAACACTTTTAAAACTCTCCATTTTGTCCTAAAAATTGCCTGCATTTTTGGTACAAATATATAATGACCTGTTTGAACCCAATATATTAATGTTAAAATATCTATCATGAAACTTTATAGGGAATTTCCCATCAAATAATTTGCAACCCCATTGAAGTAATACGTAGAGCTCCTCGCTAATTCCAGCCAGTGCTTTTCAGTTCTAATTTTTGATAACAAATCTCACCTGCATCTAAGCCTTTTTTTAAACTGTGGTCTGTCCATTCCATTATTATTATTATACAGGATTTATATAGCGCCAACAGTTTGCGCAGCGCTTTACAATAAAAGGAAGACATTACAATCACAATACAATTCAAGACAAGATGGTAAGGAGGGCCCTGCCCCTGAGGGCTTACAATCTAAAAGGGAGGGACAAGTGATACATGAGGAGGTAGCTGTGTGGGGATGAATTGTTTGAGAATGTGATGGTTGAGCGGTTAGGTTGAGGTGGGATAGGCTTCCCTGAAGAGATGAGTATTATTATACTTACATTATACATTATAAAGCTACTCTCTGAGGTCCACTATTCCTGTAAGGTGCAGGGGCAAGAGGGAGGTAGATTCTCTGGACCTTTTCTTGTTCCTAATGGATCATTAGAGAAAATGGATTCAGAGAATCTCTTTTAAAGGGAAACCATTATGGTTGTGGAACAATTATATTTTCATTTTTTTTTTTAGTTTTTACCTTTTTTAACTAATAATTTATATTTATGTTTATACTAATTTATATCAAATGTTTATTTTACAAATTCATATTGACTGCAGGGTGCACCCATGACATTGGTGTCAGTCACATAGCATTATAGGTTGTCGAAAGAAAGCAGAGAAGAAGCTGCTTATTACGTATGGACAAACTCATTAACCTGTGAGTGGCAAAAGCAATGTTGAAGGTGTGTCTACTGTAAACTCTGATCCCTGTAAGCATTGCCAAGTTACTAAAAGCACAAATATCGAATTTGTGGCTGCTAATCAATAAAAATATGTTTCCCTGTGATATATCTATCCATCCTTTATCCCCAGCCATAGTGTCTAAAAAGTGAGCCTGCCAGGCAGACTTTTTACCATTTGGCAGTGTAGAAATTTTACAAATAGAGTGAGTGGGGGTTGGATTTGTGTGCATCTGCTATTTATGATTGACTCTCAAGTCTAGTAACATCTAATAAAGTTATCGACATAGTACTAAATATCAAATTCTTGTTAGACTTTGCACCAGTACTTTATGTTATTGTAACAAAGCATGTATAATATTAAAATCTCAAAAATCCTAAATTTCATAGATTATATAACCATTTCTCAGAATTTCTCTTACTTATGAGCTATTCAATCGGAATGAAGGGATAGAAAAGCTATCACAGTTTGTATCCAATGGTATAATATTGGTTAGAGTGGAATTAGTTGTAGCTGTTATATATATAAATGACAGGCTTTTCCTGTCATATGCTCTGTAAAGTTAGCTGCAGCAAACTTCCAAATGTAAAAATATATACAGTATATACTGTATTTCAATATTTATTCCTTATTTAAATCCTGACTAACCTCTAGTTCAGTGGTCACTAAATGACTGGATCGCAGTTACAAGGAAATTAATGATATTAGAACTGTTTATTTCAGTTACAGATGAGGTGATATGGACAGAGCAGGGGAGTAAAAGGGATATTTCAGGGGGTGATGGGGACAGAGCATGGGGACATGGAGTGATAAGGACAGCGCAGGGGAGAAAAAAATATTTTTAGGAGGTAATGCAAACAGAGTATGGGGACATACGGTGATAAGGACAGAGCAGGGGAGTAAAATAGATTTTTAAGGGGTGATTGGGACAGAGCATGGGGACATGAGGTTGTAGGGACAGAGAAGGGGAGAAAAGGAGATTTTTAAGGGGGTGATGGGGACAGAGCAGAGATTATTGAAGATGGGGACAGAACAAAGAGAAATAAAAGGGTTTTTTTTAAGGGGTGATGGGGATAGGGCAGGTTATGGCAGAAAATACTCCCAATGCGTTAGCACTGACGTTCCTCTTGTGATTCAGATCAGTGAATTTGTACTTATATATATCTTTGCCAAACATCATAAAATTCCCTGAATTTAAGTGCTAACTACACGTACAGGATACCAATTGCTTACTTCGTGAGGGGATAGAGCAGGTTATGGCAGACATTTTTCCCAATTACATATTTAGTTAATTCCCAGGTCTCCTTCATCCCCAGCACTATTTAGCTCCACGTGCCGGATATAGAGGGAGGGGTCATGTGAGGGTCAAAGGTGTGATGCTTCATTGGCTTACATTAGCTTACACCCAATTGCCGGCTGGGAACTCCATGCATCAGCTAATAAGTGAGGCAATCAGCACTGAAGCCACCGGAAGTGCCCAAAACCGTAACTGTCCGAAAACCGGACGTGCGCTGAAACACGTGCAACAGCCATCCCACGGGAAGTGATGCAGCTAATTGGATCTAGCTCACCATATAAGAACGAGTCTGCCCTTGCTCCTTGCTGATGGTCTTTCTCAGCTAGTTGTTCCTGTGCCTGCTCCTGCTTTGCTTCCTGTGACCCAGTTTGTTTTTGGACTTTGCTATTTTGGATTGCTGCCTGCCCCTGACCTTGGCCTGTTTCTGAACTCTGCTTTTGCCTTTCCATTGTGTACCCTGCTGCCCGGCTGGCTACGACTTCTGGCTCCCCTGACCTCGCTTCAGTCTCCCGTCTCTGCCTGGATGCCATCCGCTCAGAGGACTTCTGGACTCATCCTGCACGGCACTGGTGCTCTTCGCTGTCTGCCTGCTCCCTGTCCCTACTTCCAGAGGTAGAGAGACGCGAGCCGCAAGAGAAGCCTCCTCGCCTTCCGGTCTCTTACCAGGTACATGACACCAAACCATAGTTTAATGCTCTGGACAAATTGTTCCCCTGCCTGGGTTTTCCCCTCCTGGTCCATCTTAAAATCACCTATTTCTCCAGTGTTGCTTTGTTAATTTAGGGGCCACTTCTGGGCTTGCTTCTATTTTCCTGGCGCTGCCCCTCCTTGTCATGGAGGAGAGACTTGAATGAAGTGATTTCAAGCCTATACTACATGTTGGATTGGGAGTGGTGCTGCCGCACTGAAAGAAGAGAGCACAGAAGCGTGTCTAAAAACACTGATCCACCATGGAGGCCTGGCATGCAGCAATATATTATACAGTAATGCAGAATATCACCAGCTATAGAGGACTACAAATCCCAGGAATACATTATACAGCAATGCAGAATACCACCAGCTATAGAGGACTACAAATACCAGCAAAACATTATACAGCAGCACAAAATATGATGAAGCTACATATTCTGTGTTGCTCCAGGGTGGTGGCCTGATGTCTTCAGGGTCTCAGAAGGCTGTGCGGAGTCTCAGGTGGGCTGTGGGGGTCTCAGGTGGAGTGTGGCGGTCTCATGTGGGTTGTGGGGGTCTTATGTGGGCTGTGTGCAGTCTCAGGTGGGCTGTGGGGGTCTCAAATGGGCTGTGCAGAGTCTCAGAATGGCTGTGCGAAGTCTCGGGCGGGCTTTGGGGATCTCAGGTGAGCTGTGCCGAGTCTTAAGTGGGCTGTGCGAAGTGTCAGGCGACCTGTGGGGGTCTCAGGTGGGCTGTGCAGAGTCTCAGGCGGCCTGTGAGGGTCTCAGGTGGGCTGTTCGGAGTCTCAGGTGGGCTGTGTGTGGTGTCTCAGGTGGGCTGTGCGGGGTCTCAGGTGGGCTGTGAGGAGTCTCACGCAGCCTTCGGGGTCTCAGATGGGCTGTGCGGAGTCCCAGGTGGGCTCTGGGTTTAATTTATTATTATTAATCATTTTTATTTATTTTATTATTTTTTACTTTTTATGATTTTTTTTCATCTTTTTAAACTTTTTTTCACTTAACTTTATCCCTATCACATAGGGGATAACAAACCCCTGTGTGATAGCATTCAGAGGTGACAAGTTCTCTTTATGAGCTTGCCCTCCAATACAGAAGATACAGCACATGTACAGCTCCAATTGTGACAGCTGACACAGGAGCGCTGCGAGTACAGTGGTCCTGTGTCACTGATCACAGAGCAGAATGGTGAACGGATGTTCTCCACTCTGCTCCACGCTCTCCATCCTGAAGGCATTTGCCCTGGTCCAGGGTCCCCAGTAGAGCGGGGAACCCCGAAAACCACGGCGCAGAGGGAGGCGGGGGGCGGACCATGGAGGGGTAGGGGCATACAGGCCGGCTGCATACAAGTGATTTCAGTGGCTGTACAGGGGCTCCCCCACTCTACATTTAGCCCTGCTTGTCAGACCCCCCCTTCGCTATGCCACTGCAGTTCTGGGTCCGGCCCTGGCTAGGCCCCCTCACAGCTGTGCCTGAGGCGAGTGCCTCACTCGCCTCACCCTTTCTACCTCCCTGCCTCTGCTTCAGTCATTGGCTGCTAGGACCACTGGCTTTCTAGCAACCAATGACATCAGGCAAGCAGGGCCAGCTCCTCAACTACAAGGGATCTGGGTGGGGTGCTGTAATTGTACACCACCCCAAATGGTTGTCGGGTCCTCCACTCCTCTGGGGAGCCGAGGACCACAACACACAATGTCAGGATGGAGAGTGGGAGTGTCCATCCCCTGATCTGCTCTATGGTCACTGAAGCATGAAGCGCTGCTATCAGCACTTAATGCTTCAGCTGTCAGAAGCCAGCTGAAATGCCGGTTATCAGAAGGTGAAGCACATTCCTGTACTTCATTGTCTGTGTTGGTGGTACAGGGGAGACATTAGGAGTCTACCAGACTCCTAATGTCTCCATAAACAGAACCTGTCACCTCCAAATGCTGTCGCATAGGGGCTTGTTATCCCCATTGTGATAGCAAAAGTAAAAAGAAATGTTAT